CGCCACACCATCTTGGTCTTCATATCTTCAATCCTTTGTTTCTTTGCAACTTCCATTAATAGTTAAAATCAAGATAAAAGAGATTTACAAGTTCATCCTTTAGAAACCCTAAAGCTTTGGAGCCGTAGAAGTGGCACAACCCAGGATAGCTAATTCATGCCTATGCGACCATAGCCTACTGGAGTAAGAACTCTATGAATTCTGGCTGAGCTTTTATCTCCAGTTCAACAGATATTGCCAAAGAGAAAGGCTATTATAATATAAAGCCTGATAAAAAGCAAGTGTTAACAGGGATTTGCTGCATTCATATTAGCTTTTCTCTTAATAATATATCAAATAGATTGCTTGGCTAACAATTTACTCAGTCCGATTGTAGAGATCAGAATCTCAGCAAATATGAACTTTATTCTAGAAATAAGCTGAACTCTTTGCTCCCTGAAGTGTATGTGCAAGATAAAATTTGGGAAAATCTGTTTTGGTGGCATTACTTTTCCGCTAATTTTTTATGTATATCCTATAAATTCACTGAAATAAATGCATAGCAATGAAGCAAATTTTTCCTGCAACCAGTTCCAGAAGAATCGTCCAGGTTGTCTCATAAAGTTGAGAATAACACTATTTATAACCAAATAGTGGGTTACTTTTGTCCTTCTAATAAACAAAATTTCCCTTTAACTGTCCAATTTTTAACCACAAATATGGGTTTGGTGAAAACTAAACGCCTTTATATGAGTAACTTCGTGAAGTTCATGAGTCCATAAATATAGTTGGGAACAATTTAAGGAATCCCTAGTGAATGGAGCTTCCGAAAGCCATCCTATCCTATTTTGAAGCCGTCATAAAAGCTAGCTGTAAGGCATCTCTATGACGTGCTTCTGAAATCCGTTATATACCATTTACTAGAACATTAGCTCTCAGGCTCACCCTCAAGTTATGTGTGGATTCCGGAACCACAGCTAGTCGCCCGTGTAGAATTTCGACGCTTGACTCTTAACAAACCAGGAAACCCATATCAGAGAGTCATATCAAATTGAAGCCTAGTCTTCTTATCATTAGCACAGCGCACATCACCATGTCACATCTCAACATCCCACAAATCGCCTGTAAAATAATCAGATGCTCAACACTTCGAGAAATAAAAGCTTCGTACTTCTATAGTATTTCATCGCAGCAAAGACAACTTATCATCCCAGGAACTCAAAGCCAGGAAGTCATCTCATGCTCACTCTCATCATTCTATTCTCAACCCATGAGTCCCAAATAAATTCGATAAATACTAAGTATTCTGCACTACAAGCTCTATTTTGTACATTATTAATATAGTATACTTTTGAGAACTTGCTGTCTTATCGTGACTGTTATTCGATATCGTTTCCTAACTTGCCCTGTTAACGATGCAATCACCTTCTGATTGGGTGTGTTACTTTATAATCAGTGATTAAACACGCCACGTCATTAATATCCCACCGAGATTAGGCAATTTATTTTTTCAAGTATTATCAAAAACTTCAGTAGGAGTCAAGGCATCACATTGTTATCGATTCTCCAGGCCAACAGGCGATTCCTGCCTCCATGGTAATCCAGGACCTCGATCGTCAGCATAAGCTTAATTGGTATTTCTTCATAAATCATCTAAATTAGAAAGCACTCACCTTAAATCTCCTCCTGCCCTCCATGCCTAATATAAAATACAAAGACAACTCATAGATTTCTTAAATCCGAGCCATCTATTACATGAATCAGGGAGTGACGATTTAAATTATCCCTCAAAATGTTTGGCAAAGCTCATTAACTTCCAAAACCTGCCTTTTGTGCTGTAGTTTCTCGTTTCTTCATAACAAACGTAAATAAATGTTATGCGTATTAGAGATCCGACTGTAAATGCATGTAGGTGTAGTCATATACACAGTGGTTTGATTAAGCCTTGGAAGCTTACTATGTGGCCATGCTCAATTCGTTGTCGGATAAGCTCAACTATCGCATCCTGCTTGGCAGACTTCGCAACCTCCATCGGATCTTTTCCATCCTAAGAATGAAAAGTAGAAAGCATACATTAGTTAGGATACACAAACAATAGAATAAAAATATTAATTTTAGAGAGGAATTATAACAAAGAATATTTAGATGCGTATAAAATGTCTGATTAGTTTGCAAAATCTAAACTCAAAGGAAAAATCAGATAAATTAATTAAATACGAAAAGGTTCGTGGTGCACAATAGTTAGTGATTGAAAAATAAAGAATTAATATAAATTAAAGGATAAAAATCATTATGCAGGAAGGGTTGATTCTAGCCTGGCAAGGTTAACTAATGAGCCCGAAGAAGGAGCGCAGGAAAGCTTTAGGCAGCAGGGCGAGAGGATTTTCTACAGGTTTAGGTTTCCTCTTTAAGAAACCAATGCATATAAAAGTTTCGGCTAAATATTATTTTCTCTACAAAGGACTTACTTGGCACTAAAGTATAAGTTATCATGAAATTTTAAAGGGTTAGTAATTATAAAACTCTTTTATAATACATTAGGAGTAGGGGCCTACAGAGTTGACATGTGTCTAGTTCATGGCTGAAATACGTGTTTTGAGGAAGCATATAATAGTAAAAATAAACATTTTATACTGCAGAGAGGATTGAACCAATCTGGGCCTAAAATGTAGCATCAATTTAGGCTACTGGATGGATAGTAATGAACCCAAATAAACATTTAGTAGAAACGAAAGATTCAACTGCGATTCTGAAAGAAAATGTGATTCTGCCACAATAGTGAAGGTGATCAACGCTGTTGAAAGTAATGATGGGGCATAAAAAATCAAAAAAATATATAGAAAATATCTATTTATGGCTATGCGAGCTAAATAAGTGACCTACATTATCACGCAATGTGAGATCTAACTCAGGTCTGGCCAAAAGGTGACAGGCCACTTGTGTATGGCCATGCTCAGCGGCACACATGAGTGCTGTATTGCCAGAGGCATCCTGCAAATTGACGTTAGCACGGCATGCTAGCAATAGCGCGACAATCTGTGCAGCGCCGTGACGAGCCGCCAGCATCAATGCCGTCTGACGAGCTGGAGTCCGAGAGCGCAGATTAACGTTTCCGAGAGAAAAAAGGCGTTCAACGGTTTGAAGGGCTGAGTCACTGACAGCCTAAAGAAAGATTTTAATAGGATAATAATATGTGCAGTCAAAAGTGAATTCACTTTATAATAATTACAAAGGTATCTAAAAATGTGGCAGGAAACGAATTGCTTGAAAGTAGGAGCTATAACTGGGTTTCGATTAAGATCCTGAAATATGAACTTTTCATTTTATACGAAGGTGCCTGATAAAGAGATTGGTATTTTGATCACACCATAAAACCGCAGATAATTCCTGTGTGTCTACAGTTGTTTGATTTCACTAAGAGGGTAACTTTAACGCAGCTCAAAAGACAACTTTGCTGAGGTTAAATCGAAAGCAAGATGACTTAAGGAGAATACATTTTATATAACTGATTTACTGGTAGTCTCGAAATTCTGCTTATAAACAAAAAAAGTAATGTAGTCGATTGTTGTAGCAAAAATACATTTGCTTCATCGACAATCCCACCATATAATGTAGTAGAGTAAAAGGCCTGACCTTACTTGAAATTCACATCTGCCCTGTGATCCAAAGCACTCGCGGCAATGTGGCTGAGTGGTTAACGAGTCAAGCTTACATGCTGCAGTGCCATCGTTCGACTCCCACTGGGGGTGTTGATAAGACCTAGGCGAGGTCGAAACTAAAGTCATCCTGGATGAGTAAAACTTCTGGGAAAGCAAGGCTATGTGAAGGTCAATGGAAACGTCAGCTCCACTCATATCCTTGTGGAAAAATTCTACTACCAGTCCTTCATTACCTTAAACGAAATATGGTTAATAAATATTATATAATAGTCAACGAAATTAAATCTACTGCATAAAAAAATGTCAGTTTATGCTAAGAAGCTCTATTCGCAGAGTCAATCGAAATATCAAATTCATAAATGAAATAAGAAGAAAAAAGTCTCTACTCTAATGTAACTTTATACTAATCCAAAACGTCAGAACATGAGCAAGAGTTGATTCTAAAGCATGATGAGAGATTATTCACTCTCCACCAGAGTAATTAAGTCGGAGTTGAAAAAAGACAGCTAACAAAATATGCGATATTGCTTCATATTTTGTATTACTTTTAATAGTTGGACTCAATATATAGAATATATAAATGTAGAACCATAGACAATCTTAGGTATTCAGAAGTAAACTACTGTTTTGTTCAGTTCGATTGTTCGGTTCATGGAGTTGTATATATATGATACATAAAGAGAGATGGATAGTCAAAATGTCTAAATAACTTCACATGAAGTGTGAAATAATCCTCGGTA